GGCTGTTATTGGGCTGCTGGATTTTGGGCCATGACTGGACATTATGGATAGAGTATTGTGGACCCATTAGTTGTTATGGACCATGGGTCTAGGCCTATTTGGTGAGGTGGGCCCAATTTAGTAAATTGGGCCAATAGTGGGCTTTGCTTCAGACTTTTGGACTTTGGGCCATTAGTGGGCTTGAGAGCTTATCCAGTGTTGGGCCGGAATGAGTGAAGGGTAAATTGGTAAATTTACCCTTGGAAGGGTATTGTGCTTAGCCTAATGATTATTTGTGCTATGATGGCTAGTTCGGGATTTTCGGTGAGGCGGTGATTCGAGAATCTGCTTCTTCTGTATAGAGTTTCAGCAGTGTGAGGTGAGTTATCCTTACTATATCAACAGGGTCTAAGGCACCAAGGCCGGCCCTTTATCGGATTGAGATCCGGGTATTTGTTGTTATGATTATTGCTTTGTTATGGTTGCATCCTGGTAGCTAGGATGGTATATGCTAGTGACCGGTTAGGTCGATATCCTGGTTAGGATGATGATATGTTATGTGATCTGCTAGATCGGCTTGTTGATTGTGAATTGTTATATGATTGTATGTTTATGTGCACATGGTTGTTGGACTGGGGTTGGGTTGAGGTGGGTCCTGCTTTGTGCTGTAGGCCAAGATACCCAGGGCAGACCGGTTGTCCCGAAGGCCCAGCGAGCGGTCCAGATATGCTGTAGGCCCCAAGAGGGCGGACCAGACGTGCCGAGGCTCGGAGAGTGGACCAGGCCGACTGAAGCCCCGGTGCGGGCGGACCAGTCATACTGTAGACTCAGAGAGTGGACCAGGTGGATTGAAGGCCCAGAGCGGGCAGACCAATCACATTGCAGACTCGATGTATATGGCTAGACTCGGAGGGTGGACCAGGTGGACTGTTGGCCGGTGCGGCGGACCAGTCACACAGTAGACCCGAAGTGCATGGCTGTTCTGTGATCGGATATGATATGGCATGTTATGCGTGTATGGTCTATGTGGTTGGTATTTTGGGGGTATCTCACTAAGATTTCGGGCTTACAGTTGTGGTTTAATGTTTTTCAGGTTCTTCAGGAGACCGTGGCAAGGCAAAGGCGTGATCGTACCGCTCCTCATGTTATGTTGTGATGTGATTCTGGGAATATTCTAAATTAATTGTATTGAAAACCTTTTTGTAATAATTTAATGAAATCAGGTTGTTTTTGAAAAGTTTAAATTGGTTGAAATTTTTGGTCGTTACAAGATTTTTGATGGAAGGTTATTTAGAATGAATAATCTTAACTATGTTGTAGTATATGTCACAAAGGATCCGTACATATAAAGAACGCTGAAATCCGAGTTATAACAAAAAAAGTTATGACATGTCGAAGTTTCGCGACAAAACCGGCACCGCATTGTCTGACGTAAAAAGTGAATTTTTGATAAACTACTTTTTAGCCTTAGATATCTAAATGAAAGTTGTAGTATACGTTAAACCGAGAGCATGCATAAAAAAAACTCCCAAATTTGACTTCGTATCAGGAAATTATGATTTTTCTATGATTTGGCATAACAATGCACAAACTGGAATTCGAATTTTAGATCAATTGATTTTTGGCCAATGCAACCTAAATGAGAATTGAAGATCTCATTAATAGGAGCTCAACGATAAAAAGACAGACGAAAACGGAGTCCGTATGTAGAAGTTATGAATTTTATGAAGTCATGTAATAGTATAATATTCTCATACTGTTAAATTTAAAATCGGTCGAGAATTAGCCGATGGAGTCAAAAGGAAACTTGTAGATCTTGTCATTAACTACGCACGTGTATATAGAACGTTGAAAACGAATCTCGTATGCGGAAGTTATGCATTTTTAAAGATGAGTTGTTTTACCTACGTCATGCGCCACATGTCAGCACCAGGCTTCACTTTGGTGCCTATGCAAAGCTCACGACGTGAGAGCCAAGCCTCACGGCATGAGAAGCTCTAGACAACCTATAAATGGAGGCATAGAACACCCCCAAAACTCACACCTTTCATAGTCATTCTCTCCCATTACCCCTAAACCCTCTCCCCCTTCCTTATAACCTCTTAGGTGTTAGAGATGAGTCCCGGAGTGCTAGAATTAGACAAACATAGATCCAAGGTTTATTAGGGTTGCATGTACACTTACGAACTGTTGGAATGCTCAAAACCCATCAGAAGTTTCACGAGGAGTTGAGTACTCGATTGCTTTTTAGTATTGCTTATCACCCATAGACTGATGGTCAACGTGATCAGATCATCCATAATCTTAAGGATATGCTTTGTGTATGTGTGTTGGATTTTGGTGGCAGTTTTGATATTTACTTTGTTTTAGTTGAGTTCTCCTAAATTAACAACTAATAAACTATCACAACAACACTGATATGCCTCCCTTTGAGTTGCTTTATGGGAGAAAGTGTACGACCCTGATTTTTTGGGGTGAGGTTGGTCAACGAGTGATGCGGAGCATTGAGGTAGTGCTTAAGACTATGAAGTTGCTACAACAGGTTCATGGTAGACTACAGATTGCAAAGAGTAGACATAAGAGTTACATTGGTCAACGTTATTTCGATCTCGATTTTAGGGTTAGGGATTTAGTGCTACTGAAGGTGTCACCATAGAAATATGTCAGATTGTTCCAGAAGCAGGCCAAGTTGGGCCCTCAATATATCAGTCCTTTTAGTGTTATTGACCCGGTAGGGAAGGTCGCTTATCGGTTGGATCTTCCTGTGAGCTTAGTTAGACCCGCAACACCTTTCATGTTTATTCGTTGTGAAAGTGTTTAGCTTATGATTTCATAGTGGTACCCTTCGATGAAATTCTGATTGATGATTTTACAACATTTTTAATAGCCATGATGTGGCAATGTTTTGACTATGACGTTGTGGCATCCCATATTTAAAGCCTAATTTTCTGGCCTTAAGGCCTTATCTAAAGGATGTGATGGCTAGGGTTTGCGCACCATTAGCCTCCATCACTCCTCTTGTGCTTAGATCAAAACCATAGCCACCTTTCAAGCTCTTAAGCATATTTTGGTTGATTTGGTGACATTTGAAGAAGAAAAAAGAGGATTTCTAGTCCATGGATCTAGCAACCATCTCATCTCCACCTTTGTGATCATTTTCTAGACCATTGTAAGTCTTCAAGTCTTAATATTTATGGTTTATTTCCTATTGATCTAACAAAATATGCATATTATGACCCATTGCTAAAGTTTTAACGAATGGGTGTCACAAAGTTAGCTACTTTATAATTCATCAAGGTCCCTAGACTGTTTTACCTTTAGGATCTTGAAGTTGAAAGTGTTTTGGAAATCATGCATTAGATTTAAGTCAATTTCTTTTCCGTTGACCTAGTTTGAGTGAAGGACATGCATGGATCATGCATATGTGTAAAGTTTGGATTTTTATTAACCTTTAGAGCCCCAAGAAGCCTTGTGGAAAGTTTGATAAAGGAGCGTAATGAAATTAGAGCTAAATTCATTAAGTTGTCTTAGTGTAGAAACCACAATGTGACATGATGCTCACCACGATTTAATGAAGGAGGTCTTCACATTTTTTTTTGTCATATTGTTGTCACAACGTGGTGGTGGAGTTGGTCGCGACTGTTTGAATTGCCACATTGTGGCCACGATGTGGTGACCGTTGACATTTGACTTTTTGACCTAATGATTTTTGGTCAATTTCTAGTTTTGGAGGGGAGACTGAGGTTTGACGTTGAATGTTTCATTAGGTGGTGTATAGTACCATTATACTGTGTGAGAGCTTTAGTACTTTCGACTGCTGTGTGAGGCGAGTCTTCTCACTATACGATGTTAAATGCTAGACTGTCTTTGTGATTGTGCATGAAAGACTATGGTTGAATAACAACATTGTATGAAATATTGTGTTTGGATCACAACACTCGTTGAAAAGCTATGGTTTGATCAACACTTGTATGAAAGACCATAGCTGGACCATAGCGGGAAAGACTACAACTGGGTTGTAGCAAGGAAGTGACTATAAGACTATGGTTGGATCATAACATTCATATGGGTTGAAATATAACCCTAGGGATGAGCCCAGTTTTATTTATGATATGTGGTATTTTGGGAAAAATACTAAGCTTTGTGCTTACAGTTTAATGTTTAAATGTTTCAGGTACTCCTGGTTCTAAATGGTAGGACCCGACTTGATTGCATTGCATTTACCGGTGTTTTTCCACATTATATGTTTTATGGTTTTACACGGATGTTTTGAAAAATACTTTTATACGCTGACTATATTATAGATGAATGAATTGTTTTGGTTGTTGAAAAATGAAAATTTTACTTTGTATTTTTTAGAAGTTACAAGATTGGACATCTAAGGTGCTGTTTGTTTTAAAAAAAAAAACCTCTTCTGACCTCTTATTGATGCGCCGCGTAGCACTTGATCATTCGCAGCTGTTTGTTTTTCAGAAGACTTCTGACTTAAAAACTGTTGCGCGTGTGCTGCGTGGCGCAACAGTAGACCATCTGCTTCAAACCTTTTCACACCTAACTTTAACTTACTGTAGTAGCCTGCAGATGTTAAAAAAGATACATATTTTTTATTATATGTTTCAGTCGTTTGGTCCACCTCTTCTGCTACAGAGGGTTGCAGAGGTGGTCTGCAGACTTCAAACATTTTTGCTTCGAAATAACAAACAACACCTAAGTTGTAATCCGGACAAATGTCTGCTAGCTTGATGATATTAGCTTCTAACAACTAACGGACTAGTTTAAAAAAAAAATTACCCAATAAAATCCTAAAATATTATTTTCCGAAATTTCAACGAAATCATAAAAGTGTCTGTTGTATTCGTAAACTAAATTATGATACTAACATTTAACAATTAACAACTTTAACAACTAAAGGAGAGGTTAAAAAAAAGCCTGCAAAATCTTAAAATATTATTTTCTGAAACTTCAACGAAATCATAGATGTGTCTATGTTGTTAATTCCAGCGTTGTATCGTCTAAATCAACAACCTAATACATATATTATATGTATACCACTTTTGATGTGTGAATCTGTACATAGGGCAATACGAAAGCCATGGACCTGAATGGAGACAAGTCATTGTCGTCGTCTTCACCCTGTTATCGATGGAAACATGACGTGTTCTTAAATTTCAGAGGTGTAGACACTCGTAAGAACTTTGTATCGCATCTCTATGCTGCACTCATCGGACAAAGAATCAAAGTTTTTAAGGATGAGAAGACCATCCGAATTGGAAGAAACATTTTCTTATCTATTTCAAAAGCCATAGAGGAATCGAGAATCTCGGTTGTCGTTTTATCCCAAAACTACGGAGAGTCAGTTAACTGCTTAACGGAACTCGAGAAAATTTTTGAGTGCAAACGGTCAATGGGCCGGTACGTTATTCCGGTGTTCTATCATGTTCAACCTTCGGAGGTAAAGCACCAAAGTGGTTGCTTCGGGGATGGATTTGCAATTCATGGAAATCATATGAAGCTATCAATATGGAGAAATGCCCTCATTCAGGCTACAAATATTGCCGGAATAGAAGTACACGGGTAACATTATTTCTCTCTAATAATTAAAATATTTGTGTATTCTGATTAGAGATTAGAGACTTTTACAATTTGTCTCTACAATATATTAAGCAAACTGAAAATTAAAATTTTTTTTGGTCACTCATATCAAATCATGGATGCCATGCATTTAATCAATCCGTTGACATTTTATTTGGACAGGTAATAGTTAGTCATTTTCAAAAGGATATATCTCTTCCTTAATTTGAGATTTCTATAAGTTCAAGATCAAATAATGAGCTTTTAGTTAACTCGATTGGTAATCATTGATTCATCCAGAATTATAGCCTCAGAAGCATTTTGGGTGATGAATCATATGGAAATTAAAATTTCTTTGAATCATATTGATGTTTGCACAAAATGTGCAGGAATGAATCAGATTGCATAGAAAGAATTGTTGAAACTGTTATGAGAGAGTTGGGTCCAAGAAGGTTCCCTCTCCGCTCATTGTTACCAAAAGCATCGGGTAAATTGTACACATCTCTCTTTGAATGTCCATGGCTCACATACCACACTAAAATCACCAAATCTTTAATTTTAAGATGCGTAAATGTGTAGCTAAGAATAAATGTTTAAAATTACCAAATCTTTAATTTTAATGTCCCTTTGTATTAAGTTATTGACGATATTTACATTTGTTGCAATAGCGTATTGGTGTTCATTAAACTTTCTTATGGCCAATCGGCACACTTGGGTTCCACAAGCTGATACCGCAGGAAACGTATCTACTAATCATAAAAAGAAACGTAATAAAGAAACTACCGAAGTTTATGATCCATTAAACAAAAGCGTTCATATCGGAAGCTTGAATAAAGACGTTGTTGTCATAAGAGAAATTAATCCGGAATCCGAATCAAGTTTTTTGGAAGAAGTAAGTTAAAGATGGAAATTATATATTGTATTTGTTTTTTTTTCCTGCAATTGAATTGTATATAATTTAATCATATGTATATATTTTTCATCAAGCTGTTTGTACGTTCAAGAATGAAGCATGCAAATGTGGCTAAGCTCTTTGGTTATTGTATAAGAGACAATCGTCGTTTCTTGGTTGAAGAACATTGGACACAGGGAACGCTACACCAAATTTTGCATGATGATGCAGGAAATTCTGTGATTAGTTGGACACAAAGGGTAACAATTGCATATGACGTGGCAAAGGGATTAGAGTATTTGCATTATCAAAACCTATTTGCGCACATTGATTCCAGCAACGTGCTTTTGTTTGATAACTTTAATGCAAAGATTTCAACCGGTTCATCAGCAAGTGAAAGTTATTGGGCTCCAGAGTAAGCCAAGTTTTTGGCTACATTCTTTTTTCTGACTTGGCCCAATTAATGAACGTAAAAGAAAATTCTTATGTGAAAAGAATTAGCTACAATTTTTTTCAGTTGTTGTTTGAATAGTGGTGTCCCAAAAGCTTCTTGTTCTATCTATTTCTTGGTTGCAATACTGGTATTGCTAGCTAACGTGTTCTTATGTGGTAGATATAAGGGAAGAGAGCTCACAATGAAAGGGAACGTGTATAGCTTTGGGGTTCTTTTATTTGAGCTTCTTACTGGAAACAAGCCATCCAAAGGAATCGTCAACTCAGTAAGAGATTAAGAGTCTGGTTGATTTTTGTTGACTTCTTGTCGTTTCTGCTAAACCTATGTATCTTATGGCTTCTGTCAAATAGGTCTTGCCAGCTGGAAAAATAGACAACATTGGATCATTAGTGGACCTAAAGCTTAATGGAAAATATACGTCACGGGAAGCTAAAAAGGTTTTTCCTTTTCCTATTTTTGAAAGTGTATTGCTAAACCTTCCTAGGGTATTGCCTATTGTTATTTGAAATGGAAGTTCCTTAGCTAATATCATGAAAAAAGGCTTGTGGCTTTCTCTTTTGGCACATGGTTTTCTCGTTAAAATTATTTTGCAGCATTGGCTTCTTTGAGGAAATAAAGAGTAGAAGTCAACATGGCTCCATTTTTAATGATATATCACAACACATGAACCCTTTTTCTCTTCATTACTCAATATTAGATTCGATCATTGATTATTTTTCTTCTGACTGTTGTGTAGTTGGCATTCACAATGTTATTGGCTACAATGGATCAACCGAGTGATCGGCCAGACATGAACACTATTGTTGAGTACTTTAAGAAGTTATTAGCAGTATAGTAAGCTAATTCATCTTCATTATCAGATCAAATGAACAGACACTAAGCAAACTGATTGAAATTAGCTCCCATAGAAGAAGGAAGTTGTAAATCGTTGATTCTTGTGTTGTACATCTTTTAATGGGAAGGAAATTGATATAATAAAATTTAAGTAATTGTCTCAACTAATCAACTACAGAATATACTAATTGCTTGAAGAGACTTTGCTGACATGGCTCGTTACCGTAAATCTAGCCAAGTTCGTATGTGAACCGATTGGCTTAACTTCATGTTTGGACTGACCAAGAACCTAGTTAAACTAATTGTACTAACTTGAGCTGTAACGTCCCATTTTCATAAATAATTTCCGTTTTTAATTAAGGCAAAAACTTCATTTTCATGAAACCCATGTTAAGAAACACTCATTTGTTCCAAAATGCAATTCCTTGAAAATCTGAGTAATGTAATAAATGTGTAATCTCCAGTGTTACTGATGAGTGTGTACAGTCATGTTACTGATGAGTGTGTACAGTCATGTTTTTGCCTTCCCATGATCAATAACTGATACCTGAAAAACATTTTATTCCACAACTTTAAAACTAAACTTAATAAGTTCCCCAAAATATCATATACAGCACAACATAATAATCAGTTATGAGTTATCGCAAACTATGAGACTATCAACAATCATGAGGATTATCAGTGGTCCAAAATATCACATAGAACACGACAAAATAAATAGTTATTAGTTATTAGCAATCCTGTTTGTGACAACCCGAAAATTCTTTCCATTATTGCAACTCGTTCCGTTAATAAATTTATCGTTTTCGAATTATTTCCGTTTTCGTTATTAAATTAAGTCATAATATTTGGGTTGTTTATTATGACTTAATGGATGTTCAAACATAATAATAACTCAAGGAAATAATTCTAAATTAATATTAGAAAATTTTTAGTTTCGACCATAACGAGTTACAACAACTTTATCGGGTGCAACCAAAAGCATCGTATATCGTCAGTATCGGGTAAAATTCCACCGGGTACCAAACCCAACCACTATAAAAAAGTTGTGTGGGCAACATTTGAGGACTTTTGCCCATCTCACAACTTTCTCTCACTACTCTCTCTCTAGAACTCGAAATTTTGCCCAAAAATCTCATTTCAAGCTTCATTTTGGTAAGAAATCTATCCTAGCATGTTTCTAAGCTTGTTTATCATTCAAATTCATGTTGGAATCACCCAAAACACCTATGAACATGTGTTCACGGTTTGGGGGCCCTCCTAAAACCGTGAACTCCTCTAAAGAGGGTTTTGAAGCCCCAAAACCCCTTCAAACCACTTCTAGGGCCTAGATTCGACTTAGAAACTTGCATGCATGAGCTTAGGACCCCAAAATCGCACCAAATGAGGCATGGACATGAGTTTATGGTCCAAGAACATGCTTGGACCGTAAACCCTCATTTATAGACCTTAATCACCTTGTTGGGTGTTAGTTTGCCCCTAAACACCTCCAATGGACTTCCATGAGTGCATGGAACCTTGTAAACCTTCAAGAAATGCACCAAATCATACACAAATGGGACAAACTTGAGTTTACGGTCCAAGAACATTCTTAGACCGTAAAATCATCTTCTTAGACCATAAACTCATGTTAATGAGTCAAAATGCCCTTAAACACCTTCAAAATGCTTCCACGTGAGTGTAGAACCCCATAAACCTTCATGTGATGCACCAAAACATCCTCAAATGCATCAAACTTGAGTTTACGGCCCAAGAACATTCTTGGACCGTAAACCCACCTCCTTAGGCCGTAAACACCCCCCAAAGGGTGTTAAGGTGACTTAAACCCCTTGAATGGCTTAGTTTTGGACTTAGAATCACATGTGATTGAATTACAAGCACCAAAGCCCTTGATTCATGGACAAACATGAGTTTACGGTTGTAAACTCATGAGTTTAAGGTAGTAAAACCCCAAAGAACATCTCCTTAAACCTTAAACTCATTTCCAAAGGCCATTTCAAGTCCCGATCACTTCCTAAGCCATGGAATCAACCCTAGAACTTCCCGTGTGCATTGTTTGACCATTTGGCATCCAAGAACCCACCATCCATGAGTTTACGGCTGTAAACTCATGGGAGTATGGTTAATGGGTCGTAAAATCCATGAGGAGTTTACTCTTGAAGAGTAAACTCATTTCCTAAGTCCCACACGTCCGTAGATGTTACCCGAGTCACTTCAAACACTTGATTTGAAGTGTTTTCGCTCATTGGAGTGTGTTATCATATCTAATTAGTGTTTTAAAGTCTAACTAGATACATTTTTATACCATTTCATGTTACTTAGGAACCTCGCGTGTTATCAAGCCCCGAACCAACGCTTAGCATTCAAATCGTCGCATTTTCCCGTCTGGTGAGTTCATACCCCTACCCTTTTTCACTGTTTTTCACTGTTTTCAGGGGGAGAATACAAGCAAAGTACAAGGAATACTTGTACTCAAAAACTTGTTTTACATATGGATGTTTCATAATTTCATATGTTTTTAACACTGATAGACAAAACAGATAACTGTTTGAACATGCAGAACACGTAAACATATTATTTGTGGAATATGTCATAAAATGTTGTATTTTGTATATTTCACAAATGTTTTTCCATATTTTATCTGTTAAAAGCATGACAATTGAACCTTTATCATAAAAGTTAGTACACTGTTTTGTCCATGGTAACACTCCACAGAGATACGCGAGTGGAGGATTATCATATTATTACTAGTATATTTGTTAATCTTATATAATTGGAGACACGTCCTAGGTGAACACTCCACAGAGATACGCGAGTGGAGGACCGCACCCGTAACCAGAATCTCTTAGATAAGGAGTGTGACTTGAGTGTATAGATATATACGGGGCTGACTACCCCACACCTGGCTGCAAGCTACAGCCGAACCGAAATGGTTCAAGGGTGACGAAAGTCATAAGGTGATGTGGACTACTTATTGCCAAATCTAGTCGATTGTATGGTTATGGAACTCGCAATTACGATAACAGAGATTTACTTAATAGTAATAATGAATAAAGTAATTAAATTACTTTGTATATGTTAGTTTTATATATGTGTTAAAACTAATACATTTCACAAGGATAACCGGGTTTGCAGTTTACATCTTTCACATTTGGTAACCAACATTCAGGAAAATATGGGATTTTCTTGGCGAAACATTTTTACGTATTCAGAACAGTGTAACAAACCAGATAACCTAACTTTACATTTCACAAGGGTAAACATATTTTTAGTGTACATCTTTACATTACATTTTGGGATTCAAAAACCTACTTTTAAGAAAATATGGGATTTTCTTGGTTGTAACATTTTCAGAAACAGAAAGGAACCAGTACATTTTCACAAAACAAAATTGCTTCTGAACTCACCAGCGTTATGCTGATTTTCAAACTGCTTGTATTCTCAGGTCCGCTTTAGACAGGTACCCGATGATTCCTTTTTAGGGAAGACGGAATGCGTAGAAGACTCGTCTCATTTTGTTTATATATACTATCACAACTGTATAAATTTACTTTTGAAACAAATTTAAACTTTTCTATATGTAATGTAATGGTTGTTTACTTTACTTACTATGTGCATTGGATTTGATACTCAACGTGGAGTCAACCCTGAAAATGTTTCCGCCTTCGGTTTTCGGGGTGTGACAGATTGGTATCAGAGCCCTTGTTTATAGTGAATAAAGTATACCAAACCTTACATGGTATAAAACTATAAACACTAAAGGGCCTAAGTGCTCTGAATTAAAAGTATCTTTCGAAATATAAGTATTTTCAAAAGTATTCAAGTATACCGAACAGTCGAGATCCGTAACTACAAGTAGAACAAAACATAAGTAAATGGGTGTTGTGTACTGCGGTTAAACCTGGGTAGTTATGTAGTCGTGTCTAGGATCAATATAGCCTGACCAACTATATTCATTCGAGACACGGCCAACATGTGTTTGGGAGTAACTGTGGTATGCGGCATGCCTAAAACTTACCTTAATACCACAAACATCGAGCCAGTATCGTAGCGAATCATGAAATACTATGGGAGTATTTCTCGAGCCAATCCTCTGTAGAAATCCTCGTTCACCCATTGTTCCTTGATCATTCCTTTAGGGATAATATATTTGCATTGATAACTCTTTCCTGCTTTATCGCTTATTCGGAATATTTATACTTGTCATATCTATTGATTCAATTCAGAGGAGTTACCATCCTCTCTCTTTCTTGATCTTATTAGATCAAGATGCCTCCAAGAAAAAGACCCAACTCAAGGACCAACAACCCTCCGCCACCACCTCCTCCTGAAATTGACCCCGTAGTATTTCAGGCAGCTGTTACCGCCGGTGGCAGCTGCTATGTCTCAATTGAACACCGATGGTTCCGATGGTTTGGGAGGTGGTACTCAAACTCAGGATCAAGAAAGCAATCAGGGACACCGAAAGGAGGGTTCCTATAAGGATTTCATGAACGCAAAACCTACATCCTTCGATGGCACTGGAGGTGTCATTTCTCTTTCCCAATGGTTCGAGAAAATCGAATCCATCTTCAAAATCTGTGCCTGTTCGGAATCTGATAAAGTAAAGTTTGCAGCCTGTACCTTTCTTGACAAAGCCCTGACTTGGTGGAACGGCCGAGTCAAATCCTTGACCCTACCTGTAGCCAATGCCATGGGTTGGGAAGCCATGAAAGAATTCCTCATAACTGAATACTGCCCTCGGGGCGAAATGCAGAAGTTAGAGCACGAGCTCTGGAACCTGAAGATGAAAGGTTCCGATATTTCTGCGTACACTTCTAGATTCGATGATCTTGCACTTCTCTGCCCGGGATTGGTCACTCCTGAAAGTAAAAAGATAGGAAAGTTCATCTGGGGGCTGACCCAACCAACAAAGGGAAACATCTTAGCTGCACGTCCGGATACCTATGATAGAGCCAAGAGTTTAGCCCAAACCCTAATTGATCACGGTGATGACGTCAAGGAAACCACCACCGCTCCTGAGCCGACCAAGAGGAGTGGTGAGAAAAGAAAGTTCTGGAAGAAGAAGAAGGATCAATCTTCCCAAGGATCCTCCAAGAGACAGCAGACTGTAGCAGTCCACGCTGCT